CAAACTCCCTCTCTTTTTCTCTCAGCTTTTACCTCAGAGAGAGAGAAAGAGAGAGGTGGGGGAGGGAAAGGAGGAGAGGGTTCGTTGGGGGACGGGAGGCGGTGGTGTGGGGAGGAGTGCCAGTTTCTATTCTGGTACCACAGCCCGAAGGAGATGGCGGCGGCGGCGGGTGGGGAAGGGGATGTGCGGAGAGGGAGGGGGAGGCGGGAGCACGTCTGTGTGTGTGTGTTGTGAGTGTGTGAGTGTGTGAGAGAGAATGAATAAGCGGAGAGGAGTGGCCCGCCGCTTTCCCAGAAAGCACCTCAGGCCTCTCCGCCGCGCCCCCTCCTCCCCGCTACAGGCACCTCAGCAAGAGGAATAAGGATGCAACCTGTGCCTTCATCTTGATCGTGCTGTGAAATGGCAGCGAGAGGGGTGGGCGGTGGTCGTCGTCCTCGTGGGGACACGCGCCTTTCGTGCCTTTCAGCCTTGCTCTTCTCCTACACTACAGTTTTATTTTCAGGGGGGCGGCGGTGGCTTTGTTCGATCGCAGCGGCTGAAAAAGTTGGGATTCCTTCCCTACGTCTCTCTGTCCTCAAGATTTGTTTGCTCTAAATAAGTGATTCCAAACCTTTTTTTATTCCCCCCCCCCTTCTATAATAGCCAGGTAACTTGCGGACCTGCCACGTTTGCATATAAAAGCACACTCAAGGCGATAAAGTCATCCCTTCTGGAAGGGAGGAGAAAACAAGATACAAGAACCTGCAACTTACTTTAATATCCCTCTTTGAAAGGTCTGGGAAGAAATTGTTTAACAAAGGGCTACACACATACAGTATAAGGTGTACCGCAATCCCTTAGAAAACATTTTGCAACCTCTTTGGGGATCCTGACCCCTAGGTTGGGAAACATTGCTCTAAATGAAATGGGAAGTTTGAGGGGTTGCTTTGAGTGCCATACTTTGGGAAGGCAGAGTATATCTCTGATAAATAGTATGTAGAATGATTTATTTCTGTGTGTTCTGCCCTACAGAACAGTCCCACAGTTATAGGCTCTGGAGGTAAAAGGGGTGGTCTGCAGCAAATGAAGCATTTAAACCACCTTGAGTCATCTTGACAAGAAATGCTGGATATAAATATTTTTAAAAGCAATAATAAATATAATTTAATTGTGGACATTTGGTTCTCTGCATTTTCAATGAAAATTTTGTAAGCACAGAAATGTTTACCCAGAGTGATGTGAATGTTGAGTCCTAGACAATCATACTTGTCTGTTCATCATGCCAGTTTTGCTTTGCAACTGGATCTGATTTTTATCATAAAAACTGTTAAAATTTGGATGGTAGGAGAGAAGTACTTAGTCTCTTCCAGAGTTAATACTGCAGTTGGTCTTCTTTTCTCTGACGTAAAATGTCGATTAATGCTTTCAGCTCATTCCCCTTAACTGAGCATGGGAGCAGATTTAAGCTGCCACATTTGCTCATGAAGATATGGTGTTGAAACTTCATGTGTTAGTATGGCCTGGAGCAAAGGAAATTGAATTTTGGCTTTTTGCAGTGTGAAACAGTGTGCAGATATAATTGTGTACTCACATTTTTTCTTCTTCTCATATCTCCACTTAGTCCCGTTTCTGTTTCTTCATATAAAATGTTTTTGCAGGAATGGACTCAAAGAGGTGACCATATGTTGAATATTAAATATGCCATGTGACTCAAGTTGTATTTTGAAAGTATTTGAAATGAACGGTGTGCACTAATCAGATTGAGAAATACTGGGAAAACACAGCAAAATGGCAAATAAGTGTTAGTACAATCAGTGGTTAGTGTAATAATGCAATCATTAGTCAGCATTGTCAGTGACAAGCAGAATGACAATAATATATATATATATATATATAGCCTGAGAGCATGGACTGGAAACTTAGGAAGGTGAGAGCTACCTGATTTATGTTATACCCCTGCCCTATTTAGTAATCTAAGCAGCAAGGGAGAGACTAGCTGACTAGATAAAGGGTGTGGTAAGTGTTGCAGGAAGCCATATTTGCAGTATATCTTAATTTGACAATTGCAAGACTTTCTTGAAAAAGCCCTATCTTCTGAACTCCAAGATATTGGCAGTTACAAGTAAACTAGTCTCCACATTCTGTTCTTGGGAAAGTGCTGAAGCGTGTTATGGCATCCAAGCTCCAGGAGTTCTTGTGTGAGACAGGTTATTTAATGTCATTTCAGTTCAACTTCAGCCCTGGATATAGGACAGAGACTGCTTGGGTTGCTTTGCGGACATACGCCATGAACTGCATAGGGGAGTTCAATATGTGGGTTCTGCTAGACCTCTGTGGTTTTTGCTACCATTAATCATGAGCTTTTTTCCAGCTCCCTTTCTGGAATGGCAGCTCCAGTCCTTCCTAGGAAAGTGGATCGGGTACTCCTGTTCAACAGGATGGATGTTTGCCTATGTAGTCCTTCATTGGACTGTCTTGTTCCTTACATTTTTTAGCACAAACAAATCACTGCGAAAGCTTGTCTGGCAGTCTCATACCGCTAGTATTCTGGTAACACCCACTCTGTCCCTCCTTTCTGTATAACTCCCAAGGATCAAGCCCTTGTTTTAACCAAATTTCTCATATCAGTAATGGACTGGATAAGAGCAAATAAACTGAAAGTTCGTCCAGGCATGACTGAAGTACTCTTGAAATTGAAATATAGATCTACTAGATGGAGGCATGTTGCCTTGAAAGACTCAGGTTCATGTCTTGGATGTACTCCTTAGGTGACCCCTAAGACTTTTCCCATGGCCAGGATTGTTTATGGAGTCAGTGATGATCTGTCAGCTTCTATATAGTCCCAGGATGGCCCAAAAAGGAGAGAATCTGTACCTAAAATACCATGGAAAGGATCTCCATAAATCGAAATTGACAGGAGAACATATAGTTATTGTTGTATTGTAGGAGCCTTTGAATGAGTTTGGTTTTTTTTTTTTTTACTTTCTGCTCATTATTTGCTTTATTTTTAAATACATCTGAAACAAGATAAGTTAACTTTTTAAGAACAAATATTTAAAAGTTAAATAGGTAAGAGGTTAAATAAAGCAGATAAAATGGTCTGTACCAATAGTAGGGACGAAGTGTTTGTAATTCTCAGATTCATAGTCCGAGGGTTTACCTAGAATGTCCCAAGCAGAACTCTGGGACTGGGAGAAGAGAAAGAAGGCAAAAGACAGGTCTTCTACCACTGTTTTCTGTTTCACAACACACACTTTGGGTGGAAAACAAGGGAAAACTTCGCTTGTACTGCTTGTTGTGTATTTACTCACTGCTTCACAGGAAGGTGAAGCATATAGCTTCACCTATAGAATCTAATAATAGTGAGGCTATAATTCCCATTAGGACGGGAATTGCGAGCTCCGCTGGAACTACATAGAAAGCTGGACTAGATTAAGATGAAGGATGAGTGAAAATTGGTTGAAGAAACATCAGTAATTAAGACCTGCAGATGACACCATTTTGCTGGCGGAAAGTAGCGATGACTTGCAGCAAGTTTTGTGAAAGTGAAAGTGCCAAAACAAGACTTCAATTGATCATTAAGAAGACAAAAATTATAACTACAAAAGAATTATACAATATTGGCAACAAAGAAATTGAAATAGTTAAAGATTTTGTATACTTTGATTCGATCATCAATCCTATTGGAGACTGCAGTCACGAACTCAGAAGAAGGCTGAGACCAGGAAAAGGAACAATGTAGGAATCAGTAAAGAGCAGAGCAAGTACAGTATATGGATGTGTTACTGAAGACCAAGACCTAAATCATTCACACTCATGTATTTCCAGTCATCACGTACGGGTGTGAAAGCTGGAGGAGAGCTTTGCGGATACTCTAGACCACTGGTTCTTAACCTTGGGTTACTCAGGAGTTTTGGACTGCAACTCCCAGAAGCCTTCACCACCAACTGTGCTGGCTGGGGTTTCTGGGAGTTGCAGTTCAAAAACATCCGAGTAACAAAGGTTAAGAACCACTGCTCTAGACTGCCAGAATGACAGACAGGCATGTCCTAGATCAAATCAAGCCTGAACACTCTGGGAGTGTAAATGACAAGACAGGCTTTGTATGAGATGGAAAAGAGAAATGCAAGGAAAAGTTGAAGGCAGCACAGAGGAAGACCAAATATATAATCGATTGACTCTGTAAAGGAAGTCACAGGCTTGAGTTTATAAGAGCTGAGCAAGGCTGTTGAGGACGGGAAGTTTTGGAGATTGCAACTTGATGGCACATAACAAATTGGAACAACAAAGGACTGTGAGATTAGTAGTTTTTGAGAGCAATGATGTATAGAAACGAAAAAGCAGAGAGACAAACATGTTTCCATAGAACCTAGCAGCTCCCACCCATTCCTGTTGCAATGGCTGCAGAGAACATGCTGGGCATTAGCTTATGTACTGAAACTCCTGTGAGGACTTGGATTTTTTTTTCTTTTTTGGCTACAGATGTCGTAATTCTGTCTCTGTGTGTGGTGGTCTGTATTCCTAGAGATTTGTGGTACAGTACTGTACAGTAGTTGTAAAAATTCCTGTGCTTAGTAGTTCTGCAGCAACCTCTAGTGTCTAAAGAATGTAACTACAGGCCTTAATGAATACCCCAGCCATATTGCAGCAGTTTGTGTCATAGTTTTTGTTTTCTCTATACATTAGGGTTTTCATATGTAAAACAAACCAATATTGCTTTCATGCATATTCTACATTGTTGCTGAATCTGCTACTTCTATCAGCATTATGAGGAGAACTTTTCATTGTGTTCCTTTCTCACTGGTTTTCTTTTTTCTTTTGAACTCTTAATATTTTGATTAAAATACCACTGTGCTAAGACAGTAAGTAGAATCCAGTTGCTTATGTTCAGTGATTTGAGTGCAGCATCAGTAAGAGTGGCAAATTGCAGATAGGTGTCTTCATTTGTTTGGTATGGGCTCCAGATCCCCAAATTTCTATCTGGGAATTTCATCTACCAGACCCATCCCTGAATTGTGCACACCTGAAGAAAGACTGGGTTGGAAGTCTTCATGGCCTAGGATAGGCTGAGCTCCAACTTTGTTTGCTTTTAGAAAAGGAAGTTGCCCCCGTGCTCGCTACGGACTGAGCATAACTGTAAAACCTTCTAGCCTAGCCTAAGATTTGGAAGCCAAACAAAAATAAATGCAGATGCCTAATTGCATTAGTTAAGAAGTTGCCCCTCAGTCACATGTCTGCTTTGAGTGTAAAGACAAATAGCAACTCCTACAAATCAGTAGAATCCTTGTATCCATGGGATCAGTTTCTTCAGTTCTACTTATCCATTGGATAGCTTAGTGGTTTAGGTGTCTGGTTGTGGTTGCAATTCAATTCTCCCACTGTGCCTCCTGCAAGTAGAGCCAGCCTGTGTGGCTTTGAGCAAGCTGCATAGTTTGAGGGTACTCCCAGAAGAAGGGAATGGTAGGCTTCTCTACCTGGAAAATGCTGAAAAAAGCCACAGAAAGTCAGAACTGACTTGATGTCACATGATTATTATTATATATATTATTATATATACAACATCCAAAGTGGCAGGTTTTGTGGCCTTTGTCCCACCTTATATGTTGTTTATAGGGTTTGCTAGTACTGTATATGCAGTTTCAGGCATTCATAGTAGATGGTGAATTGGATCCCCGTGGTTATGGGAATCCTACTGTAGTATTGTTTGTGCTGTTGTAGTTAGACCATTGTATGCAAACAATAGCCATTAGCTCTTTGCATTAGAAAACATTGTTTTTTTCCTGGAAAATGTTGTGCTGTCAAGCTTGGATACTGAGACCAAAGACTAATTTGTAAAACCATTTCCATCCCACAGTCTCATGAAACTGGTATTCCAGAGCAGTGTACACTCAGTCTAGTAAAATTGTTAGTATAAACCAGCCTTCCTATCTTGGTATCCTCCATCTATGTGATGAAGGAGTGTTATTCAGACCTCAGATTTCCAGAGGTTTCTCCAGAAGTAATACATAGGCTTCCTAATTGCTGGAAAGTTACAGAAGTTTGGTTTTATACAAAACAGGTTCTTACTAAAAACTTCAAAGTTGTTTTTATTCTGTCTGAGAAAACAGAGCAGTCTTTATATTATTCAGACAAGAGAGACTATTGCTAGCATATTGATGTCATTCATCCGTATTTTCATAGTTGTAATTTTTGAAGTACTGTGTAAGTACCCTCTACTTACGGAACGGTGGCTGCAGGTCGAAAAGTCTGTAGGTCGAATCTCCTTTGACCTACAATGCATTGAAAACCAATTAATGCCGTAACTGGCCATTTTTATTCCATTCTGGTTTTTTTCTGGTCTGTAGGTCGATTCTCCGGCTGCAAGTCGAACCTAAATTTTGCGGCCAGAGAGGTCTGTAACTCGAAAAGTCTGTAAGTCGAGGGTCCACTGCACCAGTCTGCACAGACATTAAACAAAATGAAACAAAAACAAAAAAAAAATTAAGAGAAAAAAAGACAAAAATGTTGTGGCATCTTAAAGACTGCTATAAATGTGAGCATTCATGGATGAAGTCCTCTTCCTCAGACATAACACTATATGGCAGTCATTTATGCATAGCCCCATGACCTGATGGGGATACAGAGGAAAAAATTACAATGTTTGGTTAGTATAGTAGAGACAACTTGCAAATTATGTGATTTAGTGTCAGGGTGGACCAAAATCATTTTTAATCAAGTGGAAATAAATCACAATTTAAATAAAAAGTCATTTTTAAAATTTAAATCAAGTCCACCCCAGTCAGGGTGGCATTTCACACTTGTTAATGACCCAAGACTCCTGATTGATACTCAGTTCTTTTAAGTAGATTTCATTCTATTTGAAGCTTTGTTGTTTTAAAAAGTAACAATGTTTTTATTTTTGATAAAAGAACATCATGCTGTGGATCAAGCTATGGATGTTTTCTCTACCGCCATCAGGTCATGGGGCCATGTATAAATCATTGTCATATAGTCTCACTTTTACATCTGAATAAGTGGACTTTATTTATCCATGAAGCCTCACGTTAAAACATAGCAGTTAATCTTTAAGGTGCTACAACATTTTTGTCTTTTAACATCTTTTTTGTTTTGTTGTTTATTTTTCATTTAATCCAGGTAAGGCTATGGTGTGGTTTATATTTGGCAGAATGATGTTTGTGATTACATTCATGGTAGGAGATTTAAACCCACCTCATTGAGCCAGCTACTATAAGCTGTTTCTTGGCTATTAAGGTCCCCTGTATGCCTACAACTCTGGCCCCCCTCCACACAGGTCTTGTCCTAAAAGCACATACAGTGATGGTTTTCAGCCCTTTGTTTCCTGATTGCAGAGGAACCTTATACGAGGGGTGGCATTGTGCACAAACAGGGCAGAACCCTAACGAGTGAGGCTGAAAATTAGAGGGAACATAGGTGGCTGTTGCCAAAAGATGGAGTTGATTATTGTGTAAACATTTTGAATCAACATACGTTATTGTTCCTTCCCAGGTATTTACAGATGGCATCACCAATAAGCTTATTGGCTGTTATGTGGGTGAAGAAATGAATGATGTTGTCCTTGTTAGAATTTATGGAAATAAGACTGAGCTGTTGGTTGATCGAGAGGAAGAAGTGAAGAGCTTCCGTGTACTGCAAGCCCATGGCTGTGCACCACAGCTTTACTGTACCTTCACTAATGGCCTGTGCTATGAATTCATGCAAGGCGAAGCACTGGATCCAGAGCATGTTTGCAGCCCTGAGATATTTTGGTAAGCCCTTCAGCACTTCTGAATTATTTTTGATTATCTTGTTTCCTCAGATTCTTCTTAGTAGCTGAACAGTAATGTAAGAGTCATCGCCACTCTACATCTTCTTTTGTCTTGCTGATGGTAGATGCCTTTATTGTAAATTAATAAATGTTTGAGTAAAGGACAAGCCTTCAGCATAAATACTTAGAGTAAAAACCTTTTTGTTTCTTTACAGTGATAAAACACTAATGAAACCCAGCAATTCTTCTGTTTTCTTGGCTAAAACACTGGCCTACATACTGGTCATGTGGTTTAAATATTGTCACTCCCTTCTCTGTGACATGCTTTTCTCACTCTGCTACCAAAACCATTCACAACTTTCTGCACACAATGGGTCATTTCTCATCAGTTTTCTAAACTAGTTTTCTATTGCTTCTTTATCTGGAACAGTTGAAAGCACTTTTGATTTTGCTTACTCTAGCTTTGTTCTCTATCTTCCAAAATATTGCCATTATTAACCTTTTTCTCCCTGATAGCCATCCACTAGAACCAAAAGGTTCTTTTTTAACACGTTATCCCTTGCTCCCATCACTGTATCTGGAGCTCTTCTAGAATTTTCATCATGCCACATCTGCCCTTTCAACTGTGATGTTGTGAAACATAATGCAATTTAATATATTCACATAACAATGAAGTCTTAATTCATTTTGTTATGTTGAACTCAATTTTGATAGTCTTACGGTTTGCCTTTTATCAACAGACCTATTTAGTCATCACAGAATCCTATTGATGTTTAAGGTATGCATAATTTGGTGCAGGTGATTGCTAATATACTGGGGCATATCCTTTTTACTAGTCTGGGGACAGTACCTAATTACAGAACCAAGATGTGTTCCAGAACTTCAGCAGTTAGTTAAGCAAAATGTGTGCGAATACCAGTAGGATTTTGACCGTTACAGGGTTGCCACTTTCTGGAAAGTCAGGGAAATGGATATTGGTCAGGAAAAGATAGGGAAATTGGTCTGAAGTCAGGGAAATTGTGATTAAAATATATTTAAGCCAGTGGATTTTTGACCTGCTGCTGCAAGAGCATGATCTGTTCTTGTGGCAACTGGAATGCGGAAGTAGCAGAATACAAGTAAAACTTAATGATGCCCTTTCCCAGTTCCACCTTTTCCTCAGCTCCATCCCAGCAACCATCCTAATGTGTTTGTTGAGCCCTGTTCCTGCATGATTTACAAGGTCTGTCTGTAGCATTTGCAAAGCAAGGATAGTTTAAACGTTTAGCAAGATACAGTACAAACTTTAAACATCTGCTTTCATCCCTACCTGCTAGTACTGCATTTAACTTACATATAGAGATAAGCATATTTTTGGGTCATTCTTATGTATGGAATGGACATTTTGTCTCCTGCTAAACCCAGCGCAGAGTTGCAAATGAATTTTGATTCTGTTGGATTTCACAGTCTCCCATGCATAGAGGTTGCAAATGAGAGTTGTCTGCTTCTCTAGATTGCAGAAATTATCTGCAAGCATTTAAACTCGACCTCTTTTCTTGCTGCTGATCTGCTTTGGAAAGTTCCTACTTGCTAGAAAACAAATCTCCTAAGTCTTTGTGTCAGGCCAGTGGATTCTGTGTACAGCTGTATCTAAAACCACATTTTGAAGAGGCTTCTAAAGGGACGGTGTGGTGGCTGGATTTCAAACATCATCCTGACTTTGTTCTATGGCTGTCACCAGTTGCTGGAGACAAATGCAAAGGTTATTGTAAAGTGTACTACAAAACCTTTGAACTAAGTAATAAGGAAATTAGAGCTTTGGAGTCTCATGCATAAGGACCATTACATCAGAAGAACTTGAAAATTAAGTTAACAGTGCATCACAATATGTTGAGGTTCAAAGCCTAGTACAAGCTCAGGTAGTAAAACCAGAGATGGTGAAGAGACAGCCTCTGTGAAAACTGGAACAAATGATCAGAGTGATGAAAATGTCAAAGAATTACCTACCACACAAATTAGTATGGCTGCATATATAATCAAGGACTGTGTTAGGACAGCAAAGTGTCCGTCTGGGCTTTGCAACTGGTGATTAGGAAGATGTCATTTACGTCTTATAACAATATCAGTGGGTTATTCAAGTGAATGTTCTCAGATAGCCAGATAGTTCAACAGTTTCATCTTGGAAAAACAAAAGGAAAGTATGTTGTTGCTTAGCACCATATTTCTGTGATCTTTTACTGAAACAGTGCCAAACAGTTCTTACCTGTTTTGATGAAGCTTTGGAAAAGGTGGTTCAAAAGGGACAGATGGATTTAGTGGTTTGTTTCGGGATGATTACTGTCATAAAGTTTCTACATGGTATCTGACTAGTGTTTTTCTTCAAACTCCTACTGCTGAAGACCACCTTCAGATGTTTCAAGAAGGCATGTCTTGTATATCAGTTGCAAAATTATTGCAAGTATCTATGGATGGGCAAAATGTAAATCGCCTTTTTCTGAGAAAACTAAAAGAAGAAATTAAAACCAACCTTGACTATAAAATACTACACTTGGAGTATTGCATACAGTTCTGGTTGACGCACCTCAAAAAAGACATAGAACTGGAAAAGGTGCAGAAGACAGTGTTTGGGACACCTTAGAGAAAAGGCATGAGGGGCGACATGATTGAGATGTATAAACTATGCAGGGGATGGATAGAGGGGAAGCTCTTTTCCCTCTCATGCAATACTAGAACAAGGGGACATCCACTCCAATTGAGTGTTGGGAGAGTGAGAAAAGACAAAATAAAACATTTACCCAGCATGTTGTTAATCTCTGGAACTCTTTGCCACAGGATTTGGTGATGGCATCTGGCCTAGATGCCTTTAAAAAGGGGGATTGGACAGATTCCTGGATGAAAAGTCCATTGCAGATTACAAGTCATGAAGGGGAGGTATACTCTCCAAACTTAAAATGAAGGTACCTCCAAATGCCAGATGCAGGGGAGGGGTATCAGGAGACAAGTATCTAGTTGTTTTGTGTGCTCCCAGAGGCATCTGTTGGGGCTACGGTGATATATAGAAAGCTGGACTAGATTGGTCCCTGGCCTGATCCAGCCGGGCTTATGTTCTTATAAAGGAGAAGGAAAAGAATTGATTAATTGAGAAGGAAAAGAATTGATTAGCCGCCCAGAGACCTTTGGGTAGAGTGGGCGGCATATAAATTAAATAAATAAATAAATATCTTGTGCAACCTGGATTATCTATTCAATCATTGCCCAGCTAAGAGGGCATCATACACTGCTATGACTAGAAGCAACTATTTCATTTCTCCTGACGTTTTGCTCCACTAGGTGGTTGGAGAATGTTAAGTGCCTTGATAGTGCTATGACTGTTTTTGATGACATTAAGAAGTATGTGAAAGAAGCAAAACTTTACAGTAAACATGCAATTTGTATAAAAGCTGCAATGCAAGATCCACTCATGAAGTGCAAAATGGCTTTCATGAAAACGATTGCTGGAGATTGAGCCATTTCTGCAAAGGTTTCAAAACCAATAACCATTGGCACCTTTTTTGTATGAAGAACTTTGGAAGCTAATTAAGACGCTAGTGAGCTGTTGCATATAATCAGAAAAGCTGTGACATGTGTCATATGGTTCCCAATTGTTAACAGTTGACATGAAATTGAGAACTTGCTTGACAGAGGCAAGGTTGACATTGGCTTTGCAGCAAAGAAACTGTTTGGAGAAACTAAACTGAGTGAATTTCAAGTGGTCAAGTTTTGCTTAGAGTGTCGAAACATGGTAGTAGCTGTTGTTTGAAAGTTGAGAGAAGTCCTTTGAAGTTCAAGATTGTGCGTGGCCTATCAGCATTAGATCCTACTATCATTTTATACAAGCCAAATCTTGGAATCACCAGAATAGGGGCTGTTGTTGAAGCTCTACATGTAGCAAATCAGATCAATGAAACAGTATAGGAAAAATCAAAGCAACAGTACACTATTTTAACTACAGCTGCCCTCAAGGAGTTCAAGGCTCAATTTCAAGCATACAGTATATTGCAAAACAAAATGATGAAGTTGGAATGGATACATTTTACAGTGGTATTTTGATGTCTAGTTTCTCAGACCTGTGGACTTTTGTCAAAATGTGCCTTATTTTGTCTCATGGTAATGCTTCTGTTGAAAGTTGATTTTCAGTTAATAAGTCACTGTTAATTTGGAACTTGCATGAAGAACTTTTTTCATCTTTTTATTCTTTAAAAACTGATTGTTTGTATTCTTGTTTCTAACTTGATTATTACGGCAATTTCAAAACTAAGTTTTGTAATGTGGCTTCAGAGAAACCATTTTAGATAGAATATTTATATAATTTTTAGCATAGTTTTAAAACAATAACAAAAATGTTATGTGATTTGTTCGCATTTAGAATTTACTTAAATTGAAGTTTGTATCCTGGTGTAATTTTTGGTGCAGTTATAAAACAGATGTTGCTGCAGTTAATATTTAAAGAAGCTGATATTAAATCTCTGACAAATATTTTTGCTGTTGTGACTTGTGTACTTGTAGAGTGGAACATTTCATTAAGACTTGCATTAATGCAACACGACCTATTCATTTTTAAACTTGTGGTTATATTTGAATGTTGGTCAGGGAAATGAAAAATAAAATTTCAGTGGCAACCCTGCCCTAGTCTGACTCTTTAGACCACTGAGGAGTATATGTGCGGGCTTTGTATTCATATACGAATATGAAGCCTACTGGCAAAGGTGGCCTGCCCGATTACCAGACCACTTACCGCATGGCGCATGTGGCCAGCATAATCTGCTGTGCCCTCAGTTATAAGCCTTTACCAATCTGAAAGTAAGGTTGGAGATAGATCAAAATTGGGACACACCACTGTACCTCCTAGCAGTATGGTGGTCTTCTGGATATGGCACTACACTATCTGCAACTGCTCTCCCTTAGTGATACATGAAAGGATCTTGCTTTTATCATGTTATGTAGTGTATGTAATCATCATTATTGGCCATCAATATCTTTAACAGATTGGTATAGTCCCCTTTACAGTATTCTGAGTTGGTGCCCAATATTAATTTTATGGCAACAAGTTCTATAACCTGGGGAGGCTCTCTGAGTTGGGTATCGGTGGCTTGGCTCTAGCCTGGCTCCGTTCCTTCTTGGAGGACCACCCCCAGAGAGTGCAGCTTGGGGAGAGTATTTCGGCCCCATGGAGTCTCAATTGTGGGGTTCCACAGGGGTCGATCATCTCCCCAATGCTGTTTAACATCTATATGAGGCCGCTGGGTGGGGTCATCAGGGGATGTGGAGCATCGTGCCATCAATATGCTGATGACACCCAGCTCTATATTTCCTTTTCACCAACTGCAGGTGATGCCGTCCTGTCCCTCCAGCACTGCCTGGGGGCCGTACAGCAGTGAATGCAGGAGAACGGGCTGAGGCTGAACCCAGACAAGACGGAAGTTCTGAGGGTGGGTGGCCCTGTGGATGGTGGCTTGGGAAACTCCCTCATGTTTGGGGGGGGGTGGCCCTGGCCGCAAAGAGTGTGGTCCGCAGCCTGGGGGTACACCTGGACCCGATGCTCACCATGGAAACGCAGGCGGCATCGGTAGTCCGTACCGCCTTTTTCCACCTTTGGCGGATTGCCCGGCTGC